GGTTCCGGGACTCGTGGTGCGGAGACGTCCATGCGCCGGAGTTGACAGGAGACTGAGGGATGCGCGGCGAGTAGGTAGGTCCTCCACCGGACTCGTCTTGAAACTCGGTCCAAGGATTCTATTATGTGTGCGAGTATATGGGTCTGGATTATGCTCAAAGGTAGAACGAAAATGAATGGTGTTCGGATCCACCATTTTGTTTCATGCGAGACGTCGCACCGACGGGATGTCCCATCTGCCGTATTGTGCTGGGGCGGAGCGCACATATTGGGACCCGAAAGATGTTGAACTGTGCTCGGACAGGACGGAGTGAGAAGAAACCCTGGTGGAGATTCCGAAGCGATTCTGACGTGCTAATCGATCGTCTGATTCGCATATTCGGGCTGTATATCTGCGGGGCTTCGGATGGTAGTGATTAGGAGTGTCGCGACGGAGAGCGTCGAAGGGAAGGAGTGAGCCTACCTGGAGTCTCCGTCGCAGTAGTTAATACTAAATTATGAACCTTTAGGACGGAAAATGGTTACATTTGGACATTTTTTGAATGTGGATGAGTCGGCCTTTAGGGATCGCAGAGATCCAATTCGAAGGCGATATCTTATCGACTAATAGGTGATGACCACAAGGAAACAGGATTTAAAGTCCGGCAACAGGTATTAAGACATTGGCCTCGAGTGACGTAACTCAAACGAAATCGGATATGCCCATGATGGAACCGGGGACAAATTTTTTTCGTTAGGAATTCTTTTGTTCCTGGAAGAATATCTTGCCGAGATAAGGACGTGGTTTCGTAAGAGCATTTCATTTCTCGAGAATGTTCGGGATCTTTCTACCAGCTCTTGGAAATCTGAAGGAGAGAGTGTAATTTTCATCCCAATCCGTACCCATATCCGCAGCAGTCGGCAACGTGAACCGCCAATAGTCTATGGAACAATTTTGATATAAGAAGTCTGCAGTTTCGATCCGTAACTTCGGGATAAATTTTGGCTCTGAAGTTAGGGCAGCGGTAGGAAGCGCTGAGTTTCGCTCGTGCGGACTGGGAGGTAGGTCCATCCTCGCGTGGAGAAACGGCGTAGAATGGATCAGCGAGGCGGTGGATTCAGATCGAGCGTGTGGGACCGTTTTGGGGGGGGGGGGGGGGGGTGCTTGACGGCCTAATCGAAACTGGCACGAGCTAGGAGAATAGGATTCTCTTAATTAAAGCACTACGATCAGTGTTGACGCAATGTGATATGTGTCCAGTGCTCTGAATGTCAAGATGAAGAATTTCATCGGAGCTCGGATAAAACGGCGAGACTAACTATTATCCATTTTTTTTTTTTTTTTTTTCCAAACTTTTTTTAACGGGCTTGCGTGCTTTTTGTACTCTAGGTATGAAATAGTCCCCCCACACACACACCCGAGTTTCTTTCAGCAGATCTGTTGTTGCTTTCGAATTTGGCGTTTTCGTGCTTTTAGGTCTCAAAGAGACTTGTCCTGATCTCTAAGAGACTTGTTAATTTGCGATTCGGAGTGCAGTTTAGACTTTGGCAAAATTGTTCGAATCTGGACTTGAAAGTAATTAATTGGTTTGGATTGGATCCTTTTTGCATTTTAAAAAATTCGATCGAGTTTGAAAAAGAAAACTGAAAGTTTGGTATCAATAGTTAGTATTAAAATATCCCCTTCTGCCGTATTCCTCATTTTTTGGTTATTATAGAAGGGATATATATATATATATATAT